AGTTTAGTTCAATTGAACGTGTTATTTATAACAATAGTAGTTTGTTTTTCTTCTAAAAACATAACTATTTATAATGCTCCCTAAATAATAAAAAAATAAATTGCAGTGAAAGCAATGAAGATTTTGTAGGTTTGAACCAAACTAGATAACAGTAAACCTTTTTTTCATTTACGGTATTTTTCTTATTTTGCTGTTTTGAGCTCTTTTGTGTTTAGAAAACAGTTGGAAAAACAAGCCATTAACAAATATTAATCCTAAAGCGTTTTGCTAACTAAACATTTGTGGAATTGTTCAATTTCACGAATGTGTGATATATATATATATACTACTAGACTAACAATGCCATTTTCAGTAATGTGCAGAGAACATAAACAGTAGGGGCTTAGTGACAGAAAAGGGTACTTTTTCAATAATCATAAGGAAAAACTTTTTTTGGAGGGAGGTGTTAGGGGAGATTATGAGTTCCCTCTGGTACACATAGGGTAAAGAGCAGTAAGATTTAATACTAAACAATGAATTATTACGTATAATTTCTTGCACATCACCTCTATTTTCCTTACTATAAAGACCTACAAGTCCCTGTGTTCCATTTATTTTAAAGCTAAAATTTTTTCCTAATAAATTGCAGCAAACAAGGTGTGAAATCAGGTATATCTTTTAATAGTTGTGGACGATTTTTTATGATTGAGAAAAAGGGGACTCTTGAGGCCAAAGAAGAGGAAAGCAGGGGGCTTGAGCCTACCAAGCCACCTCTTTGTATACGTCATTTTCGTGGTCAATTGACATTATTAAAGCTTAAAATCATTTTGTTTATTAAACATTGCAAATTTTGAGTGCGGCTGTTCGTTCTATGAAAAGATGAAACTGTTCCCTGGGTACAGACTTAACAGCTGAGTTAAAAAGTTTCGAATACCTCCACTCTGAGTTTTCACTTCATTGGTCACTAAGGACGAGAGTAGGCAGGATTCTTGAGCTCCTCGAATATCAACCCTTACTGCTTTCACTTCACTGGTCACTGAGATGAAAGTAGACAGGATTCTTCAGCTTCTCTAGTACCTCTCCTCTCAGGTTTGACTTCACTGGTCACTGAGATGAAAGTAGACAGGATTCTTGAGCTTCTCTAGTACCTCTCCTCTCAGGTTTGACTTCACTGGTCACTGAGATGAAAGTAGACAGGATTCTTGAGCTTCTCTAGTACCTCTCCTCTCAGGTTTGACTTCACTGGTCACTGAGATGAAAGTAGACAGGATTCTTCAGCTTCTCTAGTACCTCTCCTCTCAGGTTTGACTTCACTGGTCACTGAGATGAAAGTAGACAGGATTCTTCATCTTCTCTAGTACCTCTCCTCTCAGGTTTGACTTCACTGGTCACTGAGATGAAAGTAGACAGGATTCGTAACCTACAGAATTCCGCTTATAATGAATTTATTACACTTTAATTTTGTTATAAGAATCGATTTTAAGTTGTTTAACTCAAATCATCTGTGGTGATTTAGCTGACCAGAGCTTTTGAATACTTATAATAATCACGGTTTCCAGTCTTGCTTGGTTGTATTGATTTTCTCAGGAAAACTTTTCATTGAACGTCAGTAACATGATATTAGTCTCTATACAATTTTCAGACTTGGTTTTAGTTTCTATAGAAGTTCATTTTATCACATCAACAAGCAATATATAGTTTTGAAATCATGATTGGGTGCAATATTTGGTGTCTTCACGTACCTCTTAGTTAGCTCGTTACAGATTTCTAATCAGAAGCGTATAAAGAAAAGGACTTCAGAAGAATATTTTTTATCTGCGACAGGTCAGTATTCGAATTCATTACCCAGGCTTGATTTACGGCACTCAAAGTATATCTAAAATTCTGTTTACATGCAGTACAAAAATCTTTGTGTTTAGGTGTTTTCAGAATTTTCGCGCAAAGGTAGACTATAGTATAGGCAGTTAGTTAACAGCAATTTTGTTTATATGAATTATCAGAAACATTGGATGCGCGTGCAGAGCCGTCATTCGGAATATATACGCTTGTTAGATAGATAAGTCTAAACTTCTTCATCGGTTGCTTTAGGATGAAATTGTTTATAACGTATATATGTATGATACAAAAAAATGTAAAGGGAGCAGTCAACGGTTGCTGTTTGTTATATTGTACTGGTTGTCCCTAATTTTATGTAGTCATCATCACCAACTCTTGTCAGACCGTATAGTGGGGTTTGACCATCACTCTTATAACGCACCAACAGTCCCTAAAGTGCAGAGCGTTTTTTTTTTTTGCGACAACGGGACGCGAACCACGGAAACTCGGCTCAAGTCCAGCACGCTAACCACTAGACCGTGCTCGGCCCTGTATATAGTAAGCTAAGGAATTTTAATGGTATCGATGAGCTCAAAACTGGATTTATTAAAAAAGCCGATTAACTTATGAACTCGCTTACCGAAAGTTCAAAACCCTTTATATGAAGGTTTAACTACACTAGTTTTTTTTCTTTTTCAAATTTAGAAAGAAAAAAACAAAAACATTAAGTAGGAAAATAGTTGTTTTGGCGAACCTTTCTCAATATTTACTTATGTGTTATTAAACTATGAGAGATCAAGAGACTAAATTATAAAAAAAAAGATTTTGAATAATTATAAATTAAAACTGTGTTTAAGCTCAAAGCTACAAAATAGGCTATCCGTAGCTCCTTATCGTAGAGAATGTATGAAGAATTGAAATACAATTATCATAAAAAAACACAACTACTATTTTATCTTGGATTTCTTAAAATGTATTTAACTTCTAGTCCTTCAAAATAAAAACTCTAAACCTTGGGTGCTTTAGTCTTTGTGCAAGTAAAAGCCCATGATTTCAATTACATGATTATATAAAAAAATCCTAATATTCATAGAAAACTAATTAAAATGAATCCAACGTCTGTAATCTTTTAGTTGAATCATTACGTTTTCCCGTAAGTTAACCTTTAAATCACCAACTAGTTGTTATTTCGTTCACTACCAGTTGAGTTTTCATATTGAGTTATTTTGTTTGAATTGTTATTACACTCAGTGTAAAAACATTGACAAAAACTAGAGGTGATATTACATATTTTCTATGTAAAATACAGATGGGACCTCAACAGTAATTAGTGGGATTTATTGCAATATTCATGGTATCTAATTTATTTCTTTATTTTTTTGCTACTTGTATGTTTTTAGAAACCCTGTAATCAACAAAATAACAGACAAGTCAGAAATTTTGTGCATATATAGTTTAGGAAAATGTATTTAAAATGTGAGAGAGATTCATGTCAATCCCCATTGATAATCCTGGGTTAACTATTAATTATAAATATATAGTACATACTAAGGACAAGACGACGACTTTGGAGTACTTGGTAAAAAATGTTTCATTTTTAATGAAAATACACAGGCATAAGTATAAAAACCTAAGAGATTTATTTCCAGAGAATTATCTCTATGCCAAAATATTTGACAAAACATTCTATAGTATGAACGTCAAATACACAATTTTTAAAGTACATATAAAACAGTTATCTTATGCTAAAGTGAATAGGCCTTATTGATGTCTCCTTTTTCTTTGATCATTTGGTGGAGCAAAACATTTCCAAAGTCGAAGAATTTTATCAGCCCCTGCCGACATAACTGTGGCTCCATCAGGGCTCATGGAAAGATGAAGAACTCGTGCTGTATGGCCTGAAAAATAAAATGGCAACTGAAATTTAGAGTGGTGAAAGGAGTGTTGAAAGTATGTCTAAGAAATGAAAAGGATCTATTTGGGCAACACATTTCATCATATGCCCTTTTCACTGTGTTCGTTATTAGATCCACAAATATGTTTAAAAGTTTATTTCATTTTTATTCTACCACAAAACTTCTGTTTTATACATATTCTTCACCATAATGGTCTGCTCCAATGCACTGAACGGGCTGCTACATACAATGTTTTAATGGTGGTGATATTTCTTTTAATACAACATTTGTTTATATACTGGACATTTTACACATAAAAAAATTTAAATTTTCCATGTGAATGATTTTTAACGTGTGATTACTATTCAGACATTGTCAAACAATTTCTGTTAACAAGAGAAAAAAAGCTGATACTGCTTGATGAGTCTTCAAATGTTCAGAACTACCTTTGATTTCCTGGCTAGTGAATGAACCTTTGAATACAGCCCTAAAACTAGTGAATCACATAATGTATAGTAAACTTTTCATCCTATCAAATTATTAAAATTGTTGATGAACTATTGATATTTTTAAAAAAAATATCAATCCATTTTCTTGTCCTGAAAAAAATTAAGTATAAGTACAATAATTTCAAAAGTGAATTAAAAACAGTATCAGTAGTTAAAAAGATATGATGTGTTATGATAACCTGCATGT